TCACAGCCCCCCGTTATCAATCAAGTTCTCCCGATCCCAAACCCGCCCAGGTACATTACTAAGGACCTGCTGACTAAGCACATTCCCCCCCCGGGCGTCGGCAACATGGTGTTTGTGTGTGGACCACCGGTGCGTACCAGGCATGCGCAGCAGGCCGCGCGGTGGCCGCCGTGCCGGTGCCCACTTGCTTGGGCCCCAGCTCACGCGCCCTCTGCCTGCCATGCCCGACTCCTAAAATCTGTTTCATAGCAACCAAGCAACCAAGCCGATGCTCCGCACTTCAGACCCAAAGCACCAGTTAGACTGCCCCCGCCTGACACGCCTACTCACACAAGCCAACCGACCCCCAGCTGCTGGCACCACCAGCCGTGCCGCCGCCGCGACCATCCACTTCCAAGCACCCTTTCCGAACACTACCCAAAAGCATTCCTCCACCCCTGGATCCGTCCCCACCTCCCTCACAATAACAAACCCCACCCACCAGCACCACCACCAGCGCCACCAGCACCCTCAACGCCGCCGCTCAGGCCCCGACGCCGTCACTCCCGCTCGTCCCCCACCCCCTCAGGGCATGATGAATGCCATCAGCGGTGACAAGGCGCCCGACAAGAGCCAGGGCCCGCTCAGCGGCGCGCTCAAGGACCTGGGGTATGCGCCAGAGCAGGTCTTCAAGTTCTGACGCGCGTATTGTCGAGTTCTGCTGCCAGGCTGCGCCGAGGCTCACCCGGCGGGGCCACGGGCCATGAGGGTCACAAGCTGGGGAGATCGGGGGGAGGGCTGGTAGAAGCTTCCGTCGGCCTGCGGCCTGGCGCCACGCCGGGCCTGCCTCTGGCGACCCACCTCTTGCGCTCCTGCAGGTGCCCTGGTGGCTGCCGTGTCACCGCATTGCTGGGGCCGTGGGGTTTTGGGGCCCCGGCCAAACACGGCATTGCCGCCGTGCGGGTCAGCGCGTGCACACCGCGTGGTCTCCTCGCGATCCGCTGTCCGTGCCCCGTTTTTGAAAGGAGGCTTTCGTCTATTCAGTAAGAAAAAGAGCAGTGTTTGCAGCATCCCTTGCGCGCGATATGCTGCACTCGGGCTCGAACTGCGCGCCGCGGCAACGGGCGGCTGCTGGCCTGCCTGCGTTCCAGGCGGCTGCCTGCCTGACGCGATGGATCGCCCGTCGCGTCGGCAGTGCGATGCTGGCCGCCCCCTGCCCACCAGCTGCATGCCTGCCAGCACCGGTTACCTTTGAGGAGGTGTTGGTGTTGCAGGCGAGGGGCATGGGGGCAGAGCCGCGGCGCCGCCGAGGGTACGGGCACGGGCGTGCGAGGCCCGCCCGGTCAGGATTGGTGACAGGTCGTGCGGGGGCAGGCGGGGTTACGGCGGGCGGGCAAAATGTGAGGCCGTGGCGTGCACTGCGGCGCGCGGCAGCAAACGGGTTCAGAATCACCGTGCCCACTGCAGTGGGTGAGCTCCGATGGACCCTGCGTTTGCTCGCACGTTGAGTTGGATGCTGAATTTGACGTGGAAACAGGGTTCACTGCAGACAGTCTATCAAACGAGCGCCGTCAATGCATGTGCGGTTGAGATCGTTGCACGTGAGGCAGCCTGGCTGGCCATGGCCATGCTTCCAACAAGCGTCTCTGCCTGTCATGCCGCGCTCAACATTGACGGCATTCAAGTCGTGTCCGGGAGCGGCAGCACCGGCAGAAGCAGCCTCCGCTTCACTGGAGGGGCCGGGGCTGTGGGAGGGCGGGCAGTGTTCGTTGGGCGCGGCGGCCGATTGGTCAAGACGCCGATTGGTCACGGTGAAGGCACTGCACGTTCCCAAGGTTAGTGCAGTGGCTCGGCTCCAGAGGAGGGGCGCTGCAGGCGTAGCTGCTGCGGCAGCTGGCCAGCAGGCAAGGCCGCGGTGCTGCTCGGAAAGCAGCACCTGGCAGGCAGATGTTGTCCCACCAGCTGCCCTTCGCCGTTGGCTCTTCTGGGGTGGCCGCAGCCACCCGCCAGCGCGCACAGCAGGGGAGGGGTCCAAGGGGGTGCAAGGGCCACGGATGCCTCCGGCCTTCAAGGGGCCCAGTAGCGATACTTTTGACATGACTGGATGCATTGCGTGCCGTTTGTGCGGCAGCTGTGCAGTGGCGCCCTCTGTAATGGGATGGCAGCCCTGACCGCACCGAGAAATAAGGGAGGCCGGCGGCGGGTTACTTTCGACGAAACCATCGAGGTCTCCAAGGGACCGAAGAGGCGCGCCAAAGGGGTTATAAAGTACGCTTGACCACTTTTCAGTGTCTTCTTGGCCGTTTGGTGCTCGTGTCACGTCTACACGGGCGCATGCCTGTGTAGTCATCGAGGCATCAGTGACAGGGGCTAATGGTGGTGGGACACAAAATGTGGCTGCAGCGCTGCTAGCGCATGCGCTCACCCACTGCATACATTGACTGGCTTGTTTTACTTTCATTTTATGACACCATACGCCAGACCGCTTCGTTTCCTCACTCCGAAGCTCATCAGAGTCCCTAATTAGTGCGACGCTTCACCACCCGGGTGAGTGCGCTTGTCCGCTAGACGGCGACGCTTTGCGACTTTCATAACGACGCATCGGATGTTCGTCCAGTGTGCAAAGGGTAGAGATAGCACTGACTGCATCAAATTCGATCCGGCAGCATCAGGCTCTTTTGGCAACTTCCACTGAATTTAATCACGTTTTTTTGTTTGTTTTAGTACAGGATCCTGGCGGGGGGTCCCACAGACACAGCTGGATGGGTATGCTCGGTAACCCAGACTTTGAGTCCCCCAAGTACGTGAAGTTGCAGGCGCTTGGCACGGGTAAGCGACCACAACGCCTTGATAATACACGCAGGCCACGAGCGCCGCCTGTCCTGCCTGTCCGGGTGCTGAAACGCCAGCTGCTCAGCGGTGGGCACAGCGTGCGCGCCTTGGCCAAAAGGCCGCCTCCCCGCTGCGGCCCAGACGAGCGGCCGCAACGCGTGCGCATGTGCACGAGAACGCGCATTAGCCCAGAATATAGCAGCGCACTTCTTTGCCTTGCGCTGCGCCCTGTATTGGCAACCCACCAACCCCCACGACCAAGGTGTCTCGACACCCGGCTCCCCCGCGGCGCCGCACGCGCACAGGCTCTTTCGGGCAGGTGCTGCTGGCCCGCAGCTGCGCCACCAATGAGCTCGTGGCAATCAAGGTGCGCCGCGCTGGCAGGGCTGACATGGGGTTCCGCACTCGCCCCGCGCGCCCACTCGCTTTTGGAAGGTACTGTAGCGCACAACGCCCGCCGCCGCGCGGGAGGTCGCGGCCGATGGGCTGCCAGGTCGCCCGAATCAGCTGCGGTGCCAGGGTGGTGCGGCAACCTGCAGCGCGTGGGGTGCCGTCCGCCGGTGTTGAGTCGACAGACAGTTTCATGACTGAGATGCAGATCGCTGCCCTGCATCTCAGTGGTGAAACTGTCCACCTGTCCACAACCAAAACGACCTCAACCCCTGCTGCCCACCGGGCGCTTGTGGTGTCATCGACCCAGGTGATGCGTCGCATCGATGTCGACAAAAACTTGGAACACGAGATCCTGAATCACTGCCGGCTGCGCCACCCCCACGTCATCCAGTTCAAAGAGGTGGGGGGTTGGAGGGCAGCCAAAGGGGTGGTTGGCCTGCGATCGCAGCGCGTGGTGCGACCGCAAGCGTGGGCCCGGCATTGTTGTCGATGCCACTGCGTTGCTGGTGAGATGCCGAGCCGGACCCAGGACAAGCACGGGCTGGGAGGAGCTACGCGCTACACGCACGCGTGTGTGCGCACGCGCGCAGGCACACACACACACACACACACACACACACACACACACACACACACACACACACGCACGCGCGCACGCATTCCTCCCATTATACAGTCTCTGGCTCCATCAGGCGCACACACTCACACTCGCACACAACCACATCAACACACCCTGCTGACTGCCAGGTGTTCCTGACCCCGCACCATGTCTGCATAGCAATGGAGTTCGCCTCGGGCGGGACCCTCTTCTCATACGTGAGGCCCTGAGAGCGACAGGCATGCAAGAGCGCACACGCGTGCGCGGTGCGCGCGCGCGCGCACACACACACACACACACGCACACACACGCACACACACACACACAATTGATGTCCATCATGCGTCACCAAACACATGGACATGCCTGCCATGCGAGCGCACAGAAGGGTACGAGGCATACTGCAGAGCCGCGCAGAGCCCCGTTGCAGACCCAGCCACCTCCCCCTGGCACAAGCGCCTCAGCAGCATCACTCGCCGCATTTCGACGCTCATCAGCCCTCGTCCCCCGCACAAACGTCGGACACCCGCCCTCCTGCAGCTGCAGCGCGCGGGGCGGCTGCACGAGCCGGTGGCGCGCTGGTTCTTCCAGCAGCTGATCCTGGGGGTGGACCACTGCCACGCCAGGGGCGTGGCCAACAGGGACCTGAAGCTTGAGAACACCCTGCTGCAGGTTGGCGGCTGGCGGGGAGGTTGTTTTGGGAGGTTGCATGCCATCAGTGGGCAGGGCATGCGTCGCTCGGCCGTGACCAGGGCACAGGCGCGAGCGACATTGGGGCGCAGCCGAGTCGACTATGAAATGAGAAGCGGGACGCCTGCATATGCCTCTGTATGAGCAAGCACGCCTGTGCGGACGCACGCGCCGACGCCAACACGTCACACCGACTTGCGGCGGTCATGACAGGCCGTGCCGCAGCTGCCCTTGCCGCTGGTCAAGATCTGCGACTTCGGTTTCTCCAAGGGGGACGACCAGTCCGCAGCCAAGTCCAAGGTTGGTGCGCCGCCAGCTGCCGGCGACGATTGGCGCATGCTGGCCGCCGCAGTGCTGCTCGCGCCGGCTGGTGTCCCTGCATCACTCCGATTTATCCTGCCGAGGTCCAACAACCGACGCACCATGGGTTGCATACAGCACGCCCTGGCCCTCAAGCCTGTCACACTCCACCTGATCCTACCCGAAACCCGCCCCAAAACCCTCCTCTCAAACTGTCTGCCCTTTCACCTCGCCTGAGCACCCCTCCTGCCGCCCGGTGCTGCGTGCGGGTTATTGACCCCGTCCCCCCTTTAACACCCCCCCCCCAAAGGTGGGTACCTCGGCCTACATGGCCCCCGAGATTCTCATCAACGCGACCGCCGCGGCCACCTACGACGGCAAGATGGCGGACGTGTGGTCGTGCGGCGTCATCCTGTTCGTCATGGTGAGTAATTTGACGCTTTGACATCAGCCACACGTGGCGTTCGATTGCGGCGTGGCGGCCCTGGGCCCAACCTGACAGCAGCTGAGAACGCAGAATAGTGCCACACTCGAAGCCAGCCATCGGCTTTGGGCTTGGGCGCGCGCTCCGGCAGTGGATGCCACGACATTGCGGCGGTGTGCTCAGCGGCCGTCGCCGCGCCCACTCTTTCCCCCCTCTCGCATTGCCCTGCCCATCTGTAAACCCCAGGTGTGCGGCTGCTACCCCTTTGGCAACCTCCTGGAGAAAGGCGGTGCGTCCAACGCTCTGCCGTGACCGTGCACCCCCCCCTCCCCTTCCTGCAAATCGCGGCGGCGCGCCCCGCGTCACCGCCAACCCCTCTACGCCATGGCCTCGCGTGCCCCGCCTGGTTCCTGCCAATTCGCCCGGAACTCGCACCCATCGTTCGCAAACACACATACACACACACACACCTGTCGTTTTTGCCGCCACGACCCGACCCAACCGGGCCCTTCGCCTTCCGTTATCTCCCACACCCCCAGGCCGCGTGCCGCCGGCGCAGGAGATCCTGCGGATCCTGGAGCGCATGCTGACTCAGGACCACGCCTTCCCCGCTGACCTGGCCCTCTCCGAAGGCTGCCGCGACCTGATCTGCCGCATGCTTGCGCCGGACCCGCGCGCGAGGATTCGCGTGCCCGAGGTTCTGGCTCACCCGTGGTTTCAGATCAACCTGCCGCCCGAGGCGATTGAGATGAATGAGAGGTACCTGGCTGCTGGGCTGCCCGCGGGGGGGCAGGATCTGGATGAGATACGCGCGCTGGTGGCCGAGGCGCGCAGCTCCGCGGCCGGCGCGCGCGCCGAGGCGTCCGCGCGCGCCGGCGCGGCGCGAGGCGCGGCGCAGGAGGAGGCGCGGCGCGCTGTGGCGCGCGAGGCGCTGAGGCAGGTGGCGGCGGCCGCAGCGGCGG